ACAGCAGGAAGGTGTCAGACCCGCCCACGTCTTGACTGCGACCCCGTGAGAGGTGCTGGGCCCGGCTGCTTTCCAGTTCCTGACCTGCACAGCCTGCAAGGCGGGATGTCCCCCCATGGTCACTGGTCAGGGTGCGTGAGGTGCTGTTTGAAGAGGTGAGGAGTGGTCAGCACCGGCACAAAGACGAGATACGACGGGGTGGGGGGAGAAGGGCAGAGGGGGCACGGAGGCAGCAAGCAGAGTCCAAAGGCCGGGAGTGAGGGGCTGGGCTGGGCTGGGCTGGGCTGGCAGAGGCTGTGGTCTGTGCCAGAGCATCTCTGTGCCCGTGAGAAGGCTGAGGAAGGATTCGCGCTGTCCTTTGATGGCAAAGACGAGGCATCCCTGTCATTTGACGAGGAGTAGGAGGCTCAGGAGGGGCTCGGGTGAGCGCTCATCCGTCACTCAGGCTTGGCCTCAACCCTCCTCAATGTCTGTAAGAGAGGCGCGCTGGGCGCCTCTCGGAAAACTACCTCCTGTGCGCTGAAGATACAGGAGGAGAATGCTCTTTTTTGTTTTAGTTTGGTTTGGGTTTTGGAGCTTTTGTGTGTGTGTTTGAGGGCTTGTTTTATTTATTTATTTATTTTTTTTTTTTTGAGACAAGGTCTTACTGTGTAGCCCAGGCTGGCCTTGCACTCAGGGCAGTCCTCCTGCCTCTCCCGAGTGCTGTGATGACAGAGTGTCACCACCCCCTCTGAGGAGGTTGTTTGAGGCCACTGTCCTGTGCAGGGAGAAGCAGAGAGGTGGAAAGGCCCCTGACGCTGAGGGCGGGGACAGCAGCACCTGGTCCTGGAGCCAGCACAGAGCGGCCTGCGCGCGGCCCGGAGAGGGAATGGGCTGCGTTCCTCTGCCTCGGTTCCTCTACCTCACCACCCCTCTGCCGGGCAAGCATCCCTAATGGACGCTTCAGATTCACCCAGGGACAGCATGCCGCAGGGCCAGCAGAGCACAGACGGCCGAGGGACCTCCGGCCTGTCATCCCAGCGACTGGGGAGGCTGAGGCGGGAGGATGGAAAGTTCCTGGCCTGCTTGGGCAATTTAGAGAACCTTGCCTCAAAACAAAAAAAAAAAGAAGGGCTGGGCATGCAGCTGAGCGATGGAGTGTGCCGGGCTTTGATCTGCATTCCCACACGCATGCACAGGTGTACACGCTTGTATCCACACGCGTGCACGCATCCAGGTTCACAGGCTGGTCACCCAATCTCCCAACGGCAGGCGCCGTCACCAAGCATCTAGTATCATTTCATCTCTCACTTTCCCCATAAATACTAGGCAACTTTTTTTTGTTGTTACCAGGAAGCAAACTCAGGACCTTGTGCTTGCCAGGCAGGCACTTGTGCCACTGAGCTATATCCCCGGCCCTAGGCAATTTTTAAAAATGCATTGATTCTTTTCTTTCTTTCTTTCTTTCTTTTTTTTTTTTTCGTCCTTTCGAGACAGGGTTTCACTATGCAGTTCAGGCTGCCCTTGGACTCACTTTGTAGCCCAGGCTGGCCTTGAATTCATAGCAATCCTCCTGCCTCAGCCTCCCGAATGCTGGGTTTACAGTCATGACCCACCATGCCCCACTCAATGCAAGTTCTTGTCAGAGAAATTTTCTGAGAATTTGCATGCTTGAGGCTTAGTGCCATGTTACTTTCCTTTCATATTTTAATGAGAATGTATTTAGAATTTGGAATATAAAACACTGGGCTCAAAGGCTCTTCTGTTTGGTTTTCGGTATTAGTTGTGTCCAGGTGTGATGGCACCTGACTGTGATCCCAGTCACTTGGGAGGTCCCGGGAGGAGGATTGCAAGCTCAAGGCCAGTCTGGGAAATTTAGCAAGACCCCCCAACCCAAAATAAAAAATAAAAAGGGCTGATGGAGGTTGAGGCAGGAGGGCCTCAAGTTTGAGGTTTGAGGCCAGAGCGGGCCACATGGTGAGTTCAAGTCCAGCCTGAACCACTAAGTGAGACCCTGTCTCACAAAGACAAAACAGCAAGCTGGGCATTGTGGCAAACCCCTGTCATCCCAGCATTCAGAGGCTGAGGCAGGAGGATCATTGTGAGTTCTAGGCCATCCTGGGTTTACATAGTGAGCTCAAGGCCAGCCTGACCTGCATAGCTAGAACCTGCCTCAGAAAGACCATAAAAAACAAAACAAAACAAAACAAAAAAATAAAGAAAAGTCAAAACAGGATAGGGGTTGCTGTGAGTGGACCAGGTGGGTTGCAGGCCCTCCTGTCTCAGCCTTCTGCAGTGCCACTATGCCGGGTTAGAATTGTCAATTTAAAGTTCTCCTCTATTGTTATGTGAGGTCTCAGCTCTGGCTGAAAAGCTGGGTTCTGTCTCCCCCGCCTCTTTATCCTCAGAAGATCCCCGGAGGGCAGATCCTCACTGCAGGAGGACGCCTTCCCTCCTTGCTAAACTCTGACAGCGTCTGGACAGCAACAGGACGCCCTACCAGGCGCTGCCCTGGGCTCCGAAGGCCGAAGCCGTGGACCAGCGCTCTCCAGCGCGCCCAGCTTGCGGGCACAGGGGGACGGGGCAGCCCCGCTCCGGTGTCCTCCCAGGGCCTGTGCCCTCCCAGGGCCTGTGCCCTGCCACCTGCAGGGCCTGTGACCGCCTGTCTGCGCCCAAGCTCGCCCTGCCCTCCCGGAAGGGGTCCGGGAACCCCGAGCCTGGTCCCTGGCCGGGCCCTGACTTTCCCGGTCCGCGTCGGGAGACCTGCAGCGCTGCGGGCCGCGTTCTCCTGCGGGGATCGGGTGTGGGGCAGACGCGGCGCTCATCTGCCCACGTTCAGAGCCCGCCGAGGGCCACAGGGCGAGAGGCAGCCGGGACCCAACAGGGCCTCCCCTGCCCGAACCCCTTCCGCCCCCGCACCCCACCCCTGCATCGCCGGAGAAAGCCCCAAGTGCAGAGATCCTAATCTGATGCCAGAAGAACTCCTCCTGACTCTGTAAGGCAATTTGCTTTAAAATAGAATTTAGCCAGGTGCGGGTGTGCGTGCCGATCCTTCCAGTCCTCAAGGAGGCTGAGGTGGGAGGATTGGCCATTTAGTATGGTAGCCAGGCCATGTCTCAAAATAAAATAAAAGGCAAGGGGAGTTTGCTGGAGATGTTGCCAGCACCCAGAAAAAAAAAATTAATTTTGGTGTAAAATGATTCTTTTGCCTTATTACTTGGGTTTTCATATCTTTTTAAAAGATGTTCCCGCCGGGCGTGGCTCACACCTGTGATCGCAGGACTCAGGAGGCTGAGGCAGGAGGACTGCCATGAGTTCGAGGCCAGCCTGGGCTACACAGTGAGACCCTGTCTCAAAAAGCCAAAAATAAAATAAAATTAAAAATGTTCCTACCTGCCCATGATTTAAAAAGCAAAAGAAAATCTCTTCCATTCTTTCTCATTATTTAATAAAGCCGGGCCTCCTTAACCAACCATGGATGGAAAACTTTTGAGAAACAAAGTACTTGGAGCGGGCGGGGCTGCGGCTCAGGAAGCGCTGGTGCTTAGCATGTGGGAAGCCCTGGGTTCAGGCTCCAGCAGCAAAACAAAGGAAGAAAAGATACTGAGCACGCACGTCCCGATGTCTGCTTGTCATTATCGCCTAGCCAATAAAATACCGCAGCTCTCTCCCGAGAGCGGGCACGGGCTGCGGTGCTGGGAGATCCCGGGTGAGCTACGGGACAGAAGGAAGTGTGGCGGCACTGTTTCCTGTGAAGGAGAAGAGGCACTCTCGGGTTTGGAGGTCCCAGGACACCGAGGGAGGCGTCTCTGGGGTTGTCCCTCCCATTCCTGCCCTTAGCCACCGTGCCACACGTTTGTGTGTAATTTCGGAAGCGGAGAGATCCTGCCTGTGGAGTCGATGTGGTGACTCGGCTTCCCACCGGTCCCTCTGTCCCTGGGAGACAGTGTCCAATAGCTGTCAATGTGTCCTCACAGTGACCTGCGCCTCACATACAAAGCCCTGCTTCTTGTTCTGCTTCCCAAGTGAACTTGGCTTTTTAGGGACTTTCACGCTTCTGCGTAAGTGTATCAAGTTCCTGAACACTTTAACTAAAATGGTGCTTTTATCTGAAATGTAGACATCGATTTGGAGAACTGTGATTATCTGTATAATGCTAAACTCTCCCACCCAAAAGCACAGAATGCCTCTCATTCATGCAATTTTTCTTCCATTCCTTTTACTGTGGTTTAAAATCTTTTCCAGCTGCGTGTGATAGGGCCCACCTGTAATCCCAGCACTTGGGAGGCTGAGGCAGGAGGATTGTTTTGAGTTCAAGACCAGCCTGGGCTACAAAGTGAGCTCAAGACCCGCCTAGACTGCATAGCAAGACCCTGTCTCAAAAAGACAAAAAAAAATAAAAAAACAAAATCTTTTCCATAAGACTGTCATTGCCCTTGTAAATGGTGATGGTGGGTTTGTGTGTATGTGGTTTATTGTTGTTGCTGCTGTGTTTGTTTATTTGTTGCTGTACTGGAGATTGAACCCAAGACCTTTGCACTGAGCTATATGCCACCCCAGTGCTGGTTTTGTTTTTGGGTTTTGTTGTTGTTGTTTTGTTTTGTTTTGTTTTTCAAGACTGGATCTCTCTCTAAATCATGAAGTTGCCCAGGCTGGGATGAAACTTGCATCCTCCTGCCTCAGCCTCTCAGGGCTCTGGGATTACAGGTATGCACCCTGCACCTAACCTTCTGTGTGTGTGTGTGTGTGTGCATTTCTTTGGCTGTGCTAGCAGTCAAACCTGGGGCCTCACACATGCTAGGCAAGCTCTCTACCGCTGAGCAGTCCCCCAGCCTATACATAGTGTACTTTTTAAAATTTATCTTTTCTTGCTTGTTATTGCCAAGGTAGCTCTTGTTGCTCTGACCGTCAGACATATTGCTCATTGGGCTTCATCCTATCTTCTCTTCTCTGTAGAAAATCCTACAACCTGAGCGATTTCCCCTTTTCTCTTGTTGCCTTTCTTCCCCTTTCCTAAGCAGATGAGTCAAAACCTGTGACGGCATACTGAACATCACCGCTAGCAACGTGCAGGGCCCTCACAAAAGGAATCAGTGCCTTGTGAATAAGGGGCACTCAGATGCCGCATGCCCTTCTGCCATGTGACCTTGTGGTGACAGAAGGCTCCCTGTGAAGACCAGAAAGCTCCAGCTGCCGATGCCAGTGGCGCCTTGGCCGTGGGTGCCCAGCGACCAGAACTCCCCGAGGTAAATTCCTGTTGCTTAGAAATAGGCAGTTCTGCCCTGGAGTTAGGGAACCACACCGCAGAAAAGTCCTGATCCTGAGCGTCCCTATGCTCTGAGCATTTTGCTGCGGTACCAGGGACCGAACTCAGGACCTTGCGCTTGCCAGGAAGGTGCTTATGCCCCTGAGCTATCCCAGCCCCCAGCATTTTGCAAAGCAATGAAAATTTAACTGTGAAAGGATAGATACTGTTTCACATTGAAGTTAACTAAACTTTATGCTAATGTCTTGGTTACTTTTCTCTTGTTGCTGAGACAAAGTACCCAGTGCCCAAAATTAAGTAAGGAAAGGTTTATTGAGCTCACAGTTTGTAGAGGTTTCGGTCTATAATCAGCTGGCTCCAAGGCAGGGTGGCACATGGCAGAGGGGAACACTGCAAGGCAGCACAAGACAGCAAAAGCAGCGAGAGCAAAAAAGGGGGAAGCAAGGCTTTTTTCCCTCCCTGTATGGTATTCGGCTGTTCCTCCATGCCCACACCATCTCTGTGGCCTCCTCTTCCACAAGCTGAGGATGTTCACGAAGTGAGGACCCTGGTCCCCTGCTGAATCACTTAGCTGAACTTTTAT